TTCCCCCAGCCCTTCAGTTGGTAGTGCTCCCTGCAATTATTAATCTCTTGATTACCTTTAACTTCTCTTTTTACCTTTTTAGCTTTCCCATATCTGCATAACGAGTTTCCTGTATTAACTCTCCTGTGTTTGAATTATCCATTATGGTTTCTGTTTGTTTCACACAAGGGTTTTTTCATTTTCTCAGATAAAGTAAAAAATAGTTTTTATTAATTCCTAAGTTCTTGACTACTCTCGTCTTAAGCCATGACGTTTCCCTTCTTTGTCTTTAAGCTTCAGTATTCTGGATTTTTTTAGTTGCCAGAACAAGCACGTTCAGTTTTTGTCTCAAGGATATTGCACTAGGTATTCTGTGTTCACTGGTTATCACCAACTCACTTCTGTGTCTTTTCACCCTCTACCCAACAATGGTTGCTTGGCTAACTCCTCCATAAGGCAGGTCAGAGGCTGCATACTCGAGGTTGTAGAGATATAGGATGTTGTATAGGTTTAATATCAGCCGTGCTATTTTATTAGCTTTATGACTTTGGGAAGTTATTTAATGTGTGTTTCAGTTTCCTCATCTGGAAAATAGGGATAATAATTTTACCTGCATGGTAAGCTTATTGGTAAGGCTTATATGAGTTCATGTAGAGTGCTTTGGACATGGCTTGGTGCATAGTCATTGCTCAATAAGTAATAATAAGCTGCTCTTGTTAGCTCTATGAGAATCCTTCTAAGATGCCTTCCCTGATTTCTAAACTCTGATCTGACAGATCCTACCTTTTGTATGCTCCTGTAGCACCTTATTGTACTCCACCTTTTTAATACTTACTATGCTTGGGATTAGTTATTTAATGTGTTGTTTTCTTGCTATGGGTATAAATTTCATGAAGGTATTTGAAGAGTCTGTGCTGCTCACTGTTATATCCCTAGCATTTAGCAATGTGCCTGATACCTAATTGGACTTTTAGTAAATATTTAAAAAAATAAATTAACTTTTTAAAGAAAAACCATAGTGAGTTTGATAGGAGTTATTGTGAAATGAATTAATTTAAACGATCAACTTTTCTGTTTTCATTGCCCCCTAAAAAGCTCTAGTATGGATGTCTGTAATAGGAGAGGAGAAATACCTGCTAATTTTGAAGTTGCTGTGGTATCATGAACAGGATTTAACATCTCATCTTCTTTCATTACTACTTTCCAAAGGGAAATGTTTCTTGGGCTCTTAATTAGACTTATTATTATTTTTTTTTTCTGTAACTTTAATCCCCCATGCCTAGCTTGTAAAAGCAATTTGTGTTTATTTCTAAAATTTCTGAAGATACAAACTATAATAAGGAAAGCAAATATCATTAATTTAATAATTCCAGATAGAAATGACAGACAGTTCTTAACATTATGGTTTAGGCTTTTTTGTCTACCTTTACTATATATATAAAGTTTTCTCTCCCTACCCCCTGTTATCATATTATACATTCGGATTTTTACCTTGCTTTTTCTTCATTTAATATACTGTGAATCTCCATGTTAATGAACATTTTAATCATCAATAAAAAATGCTTGAATAGTATGCTTTCAAATGGATATGCAGTATTTATTTAACTGATCTGAAGGATGGATATTTGAGTTTTTATTTTTCACTCTTATAAAATGTTGTGATGAACATCCGTATACATATAGCCTTCCTTGACAAGTATTGATTGAGTACCTTCTATGTGTATTCAAATAGAGTGTGCAAGGCACTTAATCTGTGGGAAAGACCAAAATTAATAATAACCTCTGCTTTCATAGAATGGAAGAAAAATTCCTGGAAATATAATTGATGGTGAAGTTTGGTCTGAATTGGTGATAAGTTTAAATTATAAGGTGTTTAAATTTTGTTTACTCTTAGACTATTACTGTTAGGAATGTGAATTAGAAATCTAAGATGCTATTAGTCACTGATATTTTAAAATAATTTTTTTCTTTAATTATGTACTTCCTAAATTTCATTAATGTGTATTTGGTGGGTTTACTTGATTAACTATCTCACATCTCAGTAACTACCCTGAAAGATTGTTTTTGGTAAAGCTAGAAAACCAGTATTTAAAGTAAAGCAGTTTATAAATTTGGCTTTTCTGTAATTTATATAACTTGAGTATATATACTTTAATATAAAAAGTTAATATTTTCTAATTCAGTGAAACTTCTACTGAATTAATTTTTGTCAAGAATGGATATAATACAAACAACTTAGTAATTATGAGTATTAAATTTTCAACTGAGATAATTTTCTAATTAATAAGAAATTAGATTATGCTAGCGATCCATATCTACTGAAGGTTGAACCATAGTTATATACTAAGCCAGCATGTGATAGTGTATGGGATAGGTGTCACTTTTTAAAGAAAATGGCTGCTTTCAGAGACTTTGGAATGATGTGGAAATATTTCCACATTTTTTTTTTTTTACCTTTCATTCCTAACATGAAATAGCTCCTTTCTTTTCATAGTTATTACATAACAAAAGAACACCTGATTTGGAGTTCAAACCAAAAATCGTATCCCAGAAACCTTTGTTCCAAAGCCTGAAAATTTATATGTGCAGAAAAATCCCTAAATACCAACCACTAAATAATTTCTTTGGTATCTCTGCAATTGCAAGCTGTGTTTCTCATGAGCAATCCTTTATAGTGAATTCTGTCTTCTAAAGTCTTCTTTGGTCTTTTAATCTATTTATGTATACGTATGTAGACAATATATTTTTTTTAACTGATATTCTACTTGAAGTAAAAAGAAAGGTCTGACATATATACCTGTATATCAAATTAAGTGTGTTAAGATATGACTAGAAAATAACGATTATGACAGGAAAAGCAAATATACCAACACCCTGGGGTTTAATATTTATTCTATTTGAACATTATATTTAATTCTGAGCTTCTGGGCAGTCAGTGAAAAGTGGAATATAATTTTTGTCATCATCATATGATCAGAAGAGACAAACCGTTTTTTCCTGAATTCTAAAATTTACTAGCGTAAGTCAGCTTTCCTCAAATTGTAAATATAGAATACTTTTTCTGCCAAATATTAACATATTAGGATTAAGTTTAAGAAAAAATGGGCTAAATAAGATAAACAAACATGTTTTTTTATAACTTTAAATATTTCTAATATGTATCTTGACTTTATAAAAGGTAAAGTATTTTTCTAATTTTGCTACGAAATACTTTATAAAATGCTGGTCTAGGTCCTTCCTTAAACATCATGATGATAGATTGTGTTTTCAGTACCATTTTTGCAGAGGATAGCATAATTGCTTTTTATTTGACCTTTCCTCGTATCGACTTTTTTTTTTTTTTAAACATGATCCAGGGCAATGAATGCTGACTTCAAAGAAGCCTAGATTCTCCCTATCCACCAGAAATTGCTCCTTTTCTAAAGCATGTGCAGGAAGGCTTTGGGAACTAAGTATTCCTGTTGTCTGCCAGCCTGCTGGCCTGGCATTTGGTCTAGCAATCTCTCAGATGCACAGTCAGTCCAGGATGAAGCTGATTTTATTTTTCGTAGTGAAACCTAAGTCTCCACAATCCCCGTCTACTAGGGCTACACCTGTTTCAGTATGTAACAAGGGTTGAGCTCTCCATCTCCTCCCCAGGGGCCTGCTGGGACTAATTGTTTTGAAAATAGTAACAGCATGCTTCCAGTCCAGTCCCAAAATGTAGCCTCTTTGGTCTTCTTTGCCGCTCTTCAACCTGTTGTCCTTCACTTCTTTTTTCTCCCATTTCCCCTCACTTATCCTAAACATGTGTCTATTTGTTCTTTAGAGCACTCGTTGATGGGAAACAAATTATCCTCTGTTATATTTTCTGCTGTGTACTGTGTTAGGTTCAACCCCTTCATTTAATGTTTCTTATATCCCTTGGCCTTATCTTGATTCAGCTCCGTCTTTCAGTTGTTGCTTTCAGTTTTCTGACATGCGTCATGGGTAGGAGGTTGGACAGGCTGATCAGCATTTTCTTCTCAGTGGTACATCCAGAGTATTCCTTCCACTCTTTCATTTAACAACAAACAAAAACAAGCTAAAATGATTCTGTTCCTTTGAAGCGCATGCCTTTTAACTTCCTAATTTCTTGCTGTCAATTTTCTCTTATTCTTTGAAGAGTTTGGTACCTGGATATGGTCTCCATTTTCACCCCAAATCTTGCCCATTATCTGTTTAGTAGAATTGCTTATCAGTCTGTAATTTCCTCAACTTGAACTCATCTGGATTTTATTTTTATATATGGTGTGAAGTAGAGCTTTGTTCTTGATGACCTACTGATAGGAATCAATGATAGTAATTTGACCATTTGAAGAATAATGCATTTTAAAGTATATGAATTCCTACGTGTATTGATTGGCTCTAAGAAGATAAAGGCTAATAGAAATTTTCCAGAGCTTGCTTTAAAAATATTTTAATTTTATAGTAATGAATGAGAATTGTACCTGAAATGGTGATATCTGGTTATATTGTAATTCTGATTCAAAGAGAAGGGCTATTTTGCTAACTATAGTGTGGTAGAAAGAGTATTGGATAATTTGAGGTCTGGCCGTTTGCAAATCACTTACTTACTTTTTTTTTTTTCCTACTGAAAAGTGGAGCGAGTAATACCTAATGTGTATAGTTGTTGAGCCGGTAAAATGCGGTTAATTGCATATATGTGTGTTGATGTGTTTTGTAAACTTTAATGTTTAATATTTAATAAAAATTAGAGAACTGGTGTCTCCTAAGATGGTTCATAAGGTTGCTTTTGAACATCACATTGTCTCCACAAAAAACTTTGATTTCTCTATACTTTGTGTTTTTTTATAGGAAACAAAATGTTTTCTAACAGAGTATTTGTTATTTGTGGTACTTTAATCTGAATGGTTGGGTGTGGCCGGGAATCTAGTGAACATTATTCCATTGCTGTAAGTCTAAGGAAAAACAATTTAACATTTCTTATGACCTTGTTCTTGAATTCTGTTAATACTACTGTTTTAATATTTTATTTACAGGTATATGATGTTGATTGATGGCACAAATGAAGTTTTTATGATTGATAGAGATAATTCAGTATTTCATGTTTCAAACCTGGAATTTCCGTTTCGTAAAGATCTCCGTATACATTTATCAAATACTCTCTTGGATGGGGTAAGTCATATTTTATCCTTTTAAAAAAAAGCCAAACATTGCCATTTTTCTTTCTCTTGTAAGTAAATCTGTATTTTTATTAATTCAATAGGAATTTAGAATTGAATCTCATTTTTTAAAGTTTTTTTAAATTAGGTATAAATGACATGTAAAGAATTGAATGTAGTTTTTATTGAGATGTTTAATTCCATTTATCTCTTGCCTGTGCTTACTGTTACTTAATCGTTGTCTTCGGTATGAGAGTGAGCAAAATTAAATCTTAATTTTTTTTGTTCTTTGTGATTAAAAAATAATTCTTGTTGAAAAAAACTAATTTTATTTTTTTACTTATCAGTTCAGTTTTAATTATGTGATATGACATCATATTTTCCCTTGGCTCTTTAGCTATATGGACTAATAATTCTTGTTTAAAGAGAATCATGCCTTTGAAAGCAACCACTGAACTTTTACATTTGAATTTTGAAAGATGACAATAATTTTTTCATTTCAGAAAAATCTATATTTAATAATCATATAAGTGCTTGGTTAAAAATGCTTTAACTTTCTTTCATGCAAATAGCTTTCTTTTCCTCAATTCCAAAAATATTGATTCATTATAAATAAAAACTAAATAATACAAAACATTACAAACAAGCTGGTAAAATCATCTGAACTCCTGCCATTGGAGTAACTTCTGTTATTGTTTCGATGAACATTATTCCAGAGTTTTCTCTGCGTCAGAGTATTCAGTCTGCTCTTGAGAGATGTAACACATTCATATTAGTAATAGCAACTCACAGCATAGATTCTTAAACAGAATGTGTATCAGAATTTTCAGGGAAGTTGGGACCCCTTTCAGTCCCAGTAAGATTCTGCCCTGATTAAAAATGACTGCTCTGGTCAAATATGTACACACATGGATAGTTATACAATTTTGCTTTGAAAAGAACCAAATGTTAGATGGTTTTGTAACTTGTTTTTTTCTCCCCACTTAGCCATTTGTTTTGGACAACTTTCTCATAAGTGTCTGAACAATATACCATTGTATATGTAAACGCCATAATTTGGGATTTCCAAACTGTTTTGATTGTAAAAATTGTAGGGAATGCTTGTTAAAAATAAGACCCATCCCAATAGCCCATCCTAGACCTAAGAATTAGATTCTCCCAGGGATCAGGTTATCTGCACTTTTAAAAAGTGCCCAGGTGATACTAACAGGCAAGCTTGAGAAACAGTTCTATGCTTTTCTTAACCAGTCCTCTTTTGGTGGACATTTTGATTTTTGTAGTTTTTTTCTATTATAAGATACACTCGAATGCATATCCTTATACCTTTTTCTTTCACAATTGTTAAATTTTATAGTTAGGATTTTTAGAGATGAGATGATAATGTGTATTTAGAATCTTCTTTGCAAGTAACTGAAGTCCAACCTTAAAGTAACTGAAGAAAAAAAGAATTAGATTGGCACAAATAATTATGTTTCAGCTTGGCCTGCTTTAGGCTGGATCTGGGAACTCTTATGATATTGACCAGGCTCTTTCTTTCTCTTTCTTTGCTTTATTTGTCTGGTCTTATTCTGCATGAAGGCTGTTGCCACTTGGGAGGCAAACCACATTGCAGCTCAAGCAGAAAGATAATTTCTTCTTCCAATATCCATATATCAGTCCCAGGGGAGACTCCATAGGGCCTTGCCTGAGTTATAGACCCATGGAAGAGTGACAATGGCATGCTAGGGGAGTTGTGCTCCCAGGGAAGGGGTGGCAATAGGCTATACTTTGTTCACTATGCTGGATTCAAGGGCATGCCCATTTTAAATATTGGCCTGTATAATTCCAGAAAGTTTGAACTCATGTGCAATTCTACCAACCATATGTAAAGGACCTGTATATTGTCTTAAACACTGGATTTTGAAAATTTAATATTTTCTAATTTGATGAAGAAGACTCTTCCATTTTAATGAACAGTATAACATAATGAGTAAGAGCCCTAACTCTAACTGATGGTGCCTTCTTGGCTCCATCAATTATCACATGAGGGACCTTATATAATTTTCTCAGTTTCCTCATCCGTAGTGAAGTGAGGCTAGTAACAGTACTTAGTTCTTGGTTCTGTTGTGAAGATTCTAAATTGGATAGTTTATAAAGTGCTGATAATGGTGTCTGGCACATTGTAAAATGAATGTTTACATCTTAATTTGCATTTATGTGAATTATTACTGAGATTTAAAATTTTTTCACTTTTTTATGAGTTACTATATTTCTGTGAATTGTCCATTCATATCTTTTATATATTTTTTTCTATTGGGTATTTATCTTTTTTCATACTGATTTATGAGAAGTTTTTGTTTATTGGGGGTATTTATGACACATTTTGAAAAATGTATTTTCACTTCTGATTTTTTTTGGTGGCACATGTTTAAGTCTATATAGGTAAAATGATAAACCCCTTGATTTTTAATATCTGGCTTTTGTGTCATTTTAAGAAAAGGCTAAAAAAAATGGGGCTAATTTTACTTCAGAATTATAATACTTTTTTCTAGTACTTCTATGGTTTACTTTTGTATTTTAATATATGCTTTATCTGAAATACATTTCAATAAGTAGAATAAGATAATGTGCAGTTTTATTTATTTCCAACAGTCTAAACTGTTGCCTCAACACCATTCAGCTAATTATTTTTTCTTTTTAATTGGATATGTCATTTTTATTGTATACTGGATTCCTTAATATATTATTGTTTCTTTCCTGATTCATTTTTCATTTCATTAATATTTTGGTCTTCCAGTGGTCATTTCAGATTTATTTAAATAATATAACTTTAGCATAAAATTTAATGTCTGACAGTCCACGTACACTCAGTCTCCTGGCTATTCTGAAGTTTGCCACTTAGATTTTACTCTCTTCTTTAGCTTTTGGGTAAATAGCCTTTTTGAGAAGTGAGGCTAGATTAGTATGTTACATTTTATGTGCAAATCCTTATACTAACAAGCTTATATTTTTCTCAGTTGAGTAATCTCTGGTAGGCTAGTCTCCAGGCCATTTACCTTTCTGTTTGCTATGTTTGGTTGTATGGTTTATCTCTCTGCCATACCTCCATTGCCTTTCCTTGGAGAGAAAAGGGGCTCTACATATTTCTTAGAACTCTCACAACTTCAGGTTCTACAGGGATACTACTCACGTTCTTTAAAATTTCTTCACTTTCTTCAACGTTGAACCCTTTTTACGAGTCAGATTGAATTTTGTTTGTCTAATATTCTGTGGAATTTATATGAGAATACTTCCTGTCTTAAGATGAAATTTGCTCCTCTATTTCTGGTTTATACTGATATTGGACAGTAGGGAGTAGCTTGCAGATATTCACTTAAACTCTCAGTGATAGAATTACCGCAATGAAAATCACATCTATAAAATATGTATTTTTTTTAACAGAGGGAATACCACTTTGTTTAACAGAGGGAATACCACTTTCCAAGTGACCTGAATGCTTGTTGTCTTTATTCCTTATGTTTATTTTTATTTACTAAGTAAATATTGGAGCATGCTATATTCTATCTCCAGAAGTTGGGAGACTATGATTGGAGAATAGTATGTTTGAGTTAGTTTGACGTATAGTTTTGGGTGATGAGAAGGTTCAGGATGTGACCTAGATAGAGTGGATGAGAGGTTGAGGTTGTGTGAAGAAGAGCAGTGGAAGTGAGATCAAGGGAAGTATTAGATGGGTCATAATGAGTGATGGCAAGAGCCCATGATGACTATCAGCTAGGTACTAAAGTTACAAAGATGATAAGAAGGTAGTTTAGTTGGAAGGAGACTGAGCAAAGAGTAATTATAGAGTCATAAAACAAAGTTATCTGTACTATTTTCATTTGCGCGATAGGATGTGTAGCAAAATGTTTTGTAATAAAAATGATATACACACATAAACATATAAACTTTTGTAACATTTATGTGTGTATGTTTGTGTGTACATGTGTGCACACAGCACACCCTTGTGGATGGCAGAACCACTGCATAAAGTTGGAAGTGATGTTCATTGCACGTCTCCTGGCTGTGCCATTCTCCTCATAGTTGATATGATTGGCACTCCTGGGATTGTGCTGAACATAAACTGCATGGCCATTGTGGTGGCTTTTCTAGTTAGTGCATAGAAACAAGAAAATTTTAGTTTTGTTTACCTTTATTTTATTTAAGATGCAGTTTTTTAGCATTGTAATTAATAGGATGAAAACATTTGTAAACATTGAGTATAGTTTATAATTGAACTGATATATTTTTTTGAGTGCTTGTCATGTTCAAGTTGCTATGCCAAGAGTGTAGGCATTGCTTAGAAGGTTGAGGAGATCTCACCCTTGTGACATTTTACTTCATTGGGTAGAGGTGGAGAATGATTGCTAATGAATAAAACAATAACCTGAAGATCAGTATTTAAAGCAAGTTCTGTGGAGGTTTAGGGGAGAAAGAAATTGCATCTAGTTAGTTAGGAACAAAAGATGTTTTATAGAGGAATTGGCATTAGATATGGAAAAATTTCTATAGAAAGATTTTTGTTGGACCTGGGCTGAGGATATTCCAGGTAGGAAATAAAGCTTAAAGATTAGATATTTAATCATCTGCAGATTTAACTTAGTAATACTATTTATTTTCACCCCAAACTTGAATAACTGAGAGCAGCATAATAGACTTGTGAGCTTTTAAAATAGCAATGTGATTCATGATGTCAATTTACTTGGACCAGAATTATAGTTGCCATATCCGTTTTTCCAGTTAGTTAATTAAAGCAGTCCTCTGTAGTTTTCTGTTTCTTCTACATTTTCATTTGCAAATCGTTTTTGTAAAATTTCAAATCCAAGAATAACTCAAAACTACCTAATTGTCTGGCTGTCAGATGTGAGCACTGAAGGCTTTTGTTTTGCTCTCTAAATGATACTCTTTGACCCACAAAATATGGAAAATAGGAGTTTAGAAATGTGAAATTAATTCACATGAAACAAATCAGTGAAATTCAATCAATTTTATATTGAGGCTGAAAGGAGGATATGGCAGTTAATCATTAAAGTTAATAGCAAAAATCTTAGAAAAATGGCATGTCTTTTCAGCTGTTAATTTTTTATAAAGGAATATGCATGCTCATTTTTGAAGTTTTAGAAAGTCTGTATATTATAAAGTAGAAAAATTCAACTATCAAGAATAGATTACATTTTAACATTTGATATACTTTTAGTCATTTCGTTGTGCCTTTATTTATAGAACCTGTATAATCAATGTATATGGAGCTGACATTTAATATATGCTGTGTATCTAGAGTTCCATCATTTTCCTTCACTCTGAAGCACTGATTTTAGCATTTAAAAAAATTTAGTTTGATTTAGAAAAACTGGAATATAATTAACATACTATAAAATTCACTATTTTAAGGCATAAAATTTCATGGTTTTTAGTGTATTGAAAAGACTGTGCAACTATTACTGTGAATTCTAGAACATTTCATCACCTAGAATGGACTCTGATAATTAAAAATAGGTAGATCTTATCTGAAAGGATTTTAAGGAATGGGTTACCTTTGAGGTGTGCTTTGAAGGCCCATAGGTTTTCCAGAGAACAGTTAATTACTTCTTTTCATTAAAATGCTTCAAAGGGTCTTCATTGCCCATAGCATGAAAGCCAAACTACTCAACATAATATTCTTTATATCTGGGCCAAGCAACTGTCTTTAGCATCATCATTGACTGTGAGCCTTTGAACCATAAATTCCTCCTTTAAGAGCTTTGGACAGTTTATCCCAAACCATCTTTTTTTCTTACCTTTGTAATACCATTTGATCCACCATCCTGCTAAAAAATACCTCCTGTATTTTTCAAGATTGAACTAATGGGTCACATACCTTATTATCATACCTTTCTTCTGATTTTATAAGTAGAAATAATTACTCCCTCTTAACCTTAATAACATATGTCCTTATTTGGCCAGAATAGTATAGGTATACACTTGCTGCATTAGTATAGTTATTAATAACATTAATAACTATTATATTAATAACTATATTATTAATAATTATTAATAACAATGTTTCAGTCTCAGAAGCATCCTGGTTTAGACATTAGCTACATGACCATTCTGTGTGGCCATCTGCCATTAAAACTGCAACTCGTTAGACCTAGCTCCTTATATATTTTCCTCTCTTTCTGGGACTATTTAAGTCCCTTGAAGGTAAGGACTGTATGCGTAATTTATCCAGCACTTAGAGCTATGCCTAATACATAGTTTAGGCTCAGAAAACTGTTGGATGGATAAGCAGAAGAGTGGATGCCTGGGGACTTAACTAAGGGGAATAGAATATATGGAAAAGTACAGAGGATAGGAAAGTCAAAGATGCAGGAAAAAAAGTGTGTGTGTGTGTGTGTGTGTTTGTTTTTGGTAGGGCCTGTAATGAAGGATCTAAGTTTCAGACTTCTTCACAGTAACATTTAATACCCAAAGATGGTGGAGTAATCTCTAACAAGCTCTTGAGTGATATAAAGTTGATATGCTTTGGTGTAATCTTCAGGTTTCGTATGCTTGGAGTTTATTGAGTATCTTTCACAATTTTCATCAAAAGTAGAAAAAATTTTGCCAGTAATTTTGCCCTTGCCCCTTTTGGAGATTTAATCACTAATGTTCTTTTAATTTAAAAAAAACAAATATTTTTCTCTCTTTTTTATTTTGGGTAGTTTCTATTGCTGTGTCTTCAAGTTCACTGTTCTTTACTTCTGTAGTGTCTAAATTGCTATTCATTCCAACCATAGTATTTTTTCATCTCAGACACTATAGTTTTTTGATGTGTCTTCTATCTCTCAACTTTTAAATACATGGAATACTGTTATAGTAAGCCATTTTAGTGAAATTATATATATAAAAATATATATGTATATACAGACACACACATATATGCTACATTTATTTACCCATTCATCTGTTGGACATTTGGGTTACTTCTACCTCTTAGCTATTGGAATAAGGCTGGTATAAACATGGGTGTGCAACTATCTCTTCAAGATCCTGCTTTCAATACTTTGGATATGTACTCAGAAGTGAGATCACTGGATCATGGTAGTTCTATTTTTAATTTTTTGAGGGAACTGCCATACTACTTTTCATAGTGGTTGCACCATTTTACAATCCCACCAACAGTATACAAAAGTTCCAATTTTCCCCTAAGTTTTAAGCTTAAATATTTTATGTATACCTACTTTTCTGTAGCCTAGGGCAATAGTGGCAGATGTGAAGAAGGGGACACTGTGCTGAGGGGTCACTGGAAAGAACTCAGCCTAGGTATTGGGTCTTTGTTAGAATCCCTGGGTTCTGTTCTATTTAAAAACTTTTAGTAAATGTTTTCTTCAGTTATTTTATTTTATTTCAATAATACTCAGACTATTTCTCCAATTTAGAATGGAGATTGG